GGACGTGAGAACGACGCGAGAGGTAAGCGCTGGTACAGCTTCTAGAAGCGGATTCCGCATCATGGGACCCGTCACCGGTGTCAATTGTACTATGACTTGCACCGGGATTGAAACGTGACTAGTGATTGAAACTGCGCTCGCTTGGGATCATTTCTCAACCGATTCCCTTCGGGTTTTCCGGGATGGGAACCGACGTATAATTAGGATTAGATTCTCAAAAAAATGGAGGGAATCGGTGAGAAATAAATCAGTTACGGTCCCCGAGGCCATCAGGCCAGCGATTCACCACCGCTCATGTGCATTAATAACCCACGTCAGCCTGGGCAACTATCGAAGGACCTCTGGCATGCAACACTGCAGTTGCTCTTGTAGCTTCCCGCGTGGTAGATGGGTCTCTACATCTGGATATTGATCACAAAGAGTTGACTAGTGCTGGCCAAAAATACGATACGAAAAAATATATTTTGAATATATTCAAATATGCATGGATACGATATGGCCCTTGAAGATCTCATTGAATATGAATACAGAAGGATATGAATACAATACGATACCGATAAATCACGATGCACCTTGTGTCGTATTCAAATATACTCGAATACGGTAAGGGGTGCCATTCGCCACCCAGACCACCAGTCGGCAACACTCGGAGCATCAAGTTTTGTCTCCCGAACATTGACAGCAGATCTGATTTGCCTAAGCCGCCCAATGGCACCAGATCAGTGGTCCGTCGGACATTGAACCATTTCGGCCTTGGATCAAATGTTGTGATGCCAATGTTCGGATGTGCCAAACCCATCGATTTGGTGATTTCCTGACCACCAGTAGGATCTGAAGGCTCAGGGTTAACATTGGGCCCCACCGAAAAGGAACAGGAGCCTGTGGTAGGCTGATTTGGGTAAGGGTTCCTCGACCAGTCAATGACCAAAATATATTCAAATATATTCATATCGTATTCATATTCAGTGCTGGAATACGAAAACGATACACTAAAAATATGATACGGCATCCTGGAGGTGAATACGATACAGATATGAGTATGATACGCCAAATGGCGTATCGTATCTGTATTTGGCCAGCACTAGAGTTGACCCAGTAACGAACAACAAAGACTAAAGCCATAGTACGGATACCACCTAGCTTACATTTACACGCGGCTGTTTACGTATTCATAGTATTCATCCGCTTTAACATCTTTCCACATAGCGTCCACTTTCATAGTTTTAGTGCGGTTTGAATGAATATTTGAATGCGACTTGAGTTGGACGAGTGATCTATATGCTTTAGTGAGTCGTACTGCTAAGACACAAGTTATGTCACGCTTTCGCGCTCCTCATCCGGTTTGGTCGCGTAACTGTTATTCTCTTGGGAGACAACTGATTCAATGATGAGTTCCTGGTTCCGTAGGTAACCAGGTCTGAGACAGCTAATTGTCTGTCTGTCCGAATTTTCAAATATGCATTTCGTCCCATGGTCTGATTGGCCAGCGTCCGGATCAATCCGGTTCGGTCTTCAGGGGCTACACACCTCCGCTGCTGCTCGGCTTCCTTGCCCATTCCTAATGCGTCCTATGTTCCCGTGCGGCCGCGATCACCCGATCAAAGCATCTTTGTTGGCATCATCGCAGTTGCCGTGCCCGTCATCACACCGCCATCAAAGTGCCCGCCGCCGCTCCACGATAGAAGGCCCCAAAATAACCCAAAACCCACCCAAAAACAAAAAAAAAAACAAAAAAAATGTACGGGTTCCACTCTCGGGATACGCATAGGACATTATCCATATTTGTGTGAATAGAATGAGGCATGTAGTTAGTACACGAGGTCATATTTCAGCTGAATTTCAATCCAATCCACAGATGCATGGTGCCACTACGCAGGAATACGAAAAGCGCAGTAGAAAAGGATACTGAGCTAGGATAAAAAGTGGTGGTTGCTTCGAGTCTCCTGATGGGTTCGGGGCGGTTAGAAAAAACTGACTTTAGCGTGGTTCGAACCGGCACCAACCTGTACTGAAGAAAATCACTTGTAAACTATACAACTCCAGCTGAGCTACAGACACCACACCCAGTACTATAGACAGTGATATATCATACACATCCAATGAACTGAGAGTACTTGTATTCTAACTCCGTTATACATAAGGTATGCGTCAAGCAAATGCCACCAAACGTTTATGTAAGCTAGCGTGACACGTCCAAATCGGGTTAAAAACACTTAAAAACACGTCAAATAATCGGCCAATCTGTTCCCAACAACTTGTGAAGAGAGTACCCCGAAGAGGGTGATGTGGTCCGCTTTGACCCAGATTAGGGACTAAATAAGTTTAACCAATTTTCGTGACTTGACCCCATCTCTCGCGAGCATCGACACCAATTTACATAAACTTGCTCAGTTGAAAGCCTCTGCCTTCAGTATTTTTTCTGAAGAGTATATATCATGGGACTACAAAATGTTGGAGCTAGATTTCCTCTCCGTGTCTTTGTGCTATCAGTATGCATTAACTTTTGATTTTTGCGGCCCATTTCTCCCGATGCGGATGACCGTGACATGATGTGACAGGGGTTGGTGGTGTTTGCTTGACGCAGACCTTAAGACCATTGATGTTCTCAGCTGACCGATCGAGTGACACCTTCCGGCGTGCTGCTTCCTATTCGTGGAAGTATGATAGGCCTTGTAAATGGTGTATGGGATCGCTATGACGAAACAATTCATGTTGGAGATGATATTGTCGTGAGAGTGACATTGACACGGACTGATTTCACAAAGGAAATACAATTCAGACGGTACATTCCAATACGTATGTTTAATTGGTTGGGTGTCCCTTGCAGGCCATTAGCACCGCAAGTTGAGAACACCGCAGCGAATGCCCGATCGCGTACCACGCGTTGACTAATTTGAATATAGCTGCGATCTGGCCCGCGATCCGAGTTGGCAGCCGACGCTGCAATCAAGCGCGTCGTTGCCTATAGCGTAGTGCAGTTTTTCTGTCAGTTTTTATTTCAAAGTCCGAACAAATCTAGACTACTACAACGTGCCTTCTCGTGCTTGTTCACTAAGTAGCGTGCACTTCAGTGACGGATCAAATAACTACATCCTTCTAACGCCGTCCAACCGTTGTCGTGGCCACTGTGGTTAGGACAATGCACGTTGAAACAAAGTTCCCCCGACCTCCACCTGATGTTTGTCGCACTCAGACGACGGAGCACCGGATCCACCTCGTCCACCCCACCCCACTTCCAATGACCAATGCGCTGCAATCCGTTTGTGAAACGCCACCTGAGCGTCTCCACATGCCCTGCCCCACGTTCCGGTACTCGCGTCGAGCCGGACCACACCCGGGAAGGGTGATATCGTTTGAGAGGTCGCAGGATCGAAGGTGTTCGGTAGCTGTGCACTCGACAATCCATGGCACCAACCGTAGGTTGCTTCATGGCGAGAAGTCATTCCAACATAAGGACAAATCAGTTCGTATGCGCTTAGTGCGTTGAGTTGGCTCGAGTTCGATGCAGCGAAGAAAAGCACGAAGAATTCTCTTCGCGCTGACGTCGTTAGCGTGATGACTTTGTTCTGCGTTTCCGTTAGAAAACTTCACCCGACCGAATAAGTACTCACTGCTACTTTAGGATGGTGAAACTTCACGAAACGCCCGCCGTCGGCCGCAAGTGCGCCAGGGCAGCGTCCATGGTGAATAATACTATAACCTAGGTCGTGCACCATGACTCGAAGCCAGTAGTCGAGCCAGATGTACGATGTTATGACGTTGAGGTTGCTTGGGCAAGGGGGGTCACCCAAAACAGACAGAACGCCTAAAGGCACGGAGCCTACTATCCAGCTTTGGGTAGTGCGTAGGGCGTGGAAGAACAGCCGGTGCGGTGTGTTCTGGGCGTGGAAGGGAAAGAACGGCCTCGTATATCTGTACACGCGGCCCTGGAGTAGCGAGGTAACCTCTGCACCACAGGACTTGGACAGCGATGCATATTTGAGCAAGTGTACCAGGGAGAGGAAAGTGAGGGTGTGGAATACGATGTCGTCCATCCTCATGAAAGTGTCGTGCTGGAAGCATGCAACACCCTCTGGGGGAGCTCGAGCGCCGCCGGTAACTTTGGATCGTGTGAATGGTACCATGAGTCGCACTGCTACGTGCTGTTGTCCGTTAAGTATGGTGGGTTCCACATGAAAATCTGATTTTCCGAATAAATTATACAATGCATCTCCCACTGTTTAATCTCGTGCACTTCACATTTAATTTGAATATATACGGAAGCCGTCAGTGTACTAATCAGTGCCGCTGAGGTCCTCGTTGCCCACCAAACCGTCCCGTATCACCCTAATCGCACGCATGTCATTATGTGCATGCGACATCGCGGTTGAAAAAAAAAGTACTTAGCAACAATTATCTCCACTAGGCTCGAGTCCCTATCTATCTGATCCTGGAATGAGGCCCCACATTCCGTTTTCCCTAAGCCCCAGCACCGGAATCTGGCTGCTTGCACCCACATTCCCTTTTCCCTAAGCCCTCATGACCGGAATCTGGCTGCTTCCCCTTTCCTCCTTTCCTCGCTGAACCCTGTTTTCAGCGTCTTTTACCGTCTTCACCCTCTCCTTTCCCCAGTCTGGCTGCTTTTAACAAGAATGTGGCTGCTTTAACAAGAATGTGGCTGCTTTTAACAAGAAAGTGGCCGCTCGCTCAGGAATGTGGCTGTTTTCAATCTTCTTCACCGCAATCTGGTTGCTCTTTTCCTTAAGGACTGTACGGCCTAAAGGAAAATCATTCAAATCAACCATCACGCATCACACACACTCCCTGGTCGATGTCGAATTTTGGTTCAATATCACGCATCATGTCCTTGCTGGTCAGACACAATTTCGGTCACACACCCTCGAGCAGAGCCAGGGGCGACGCAACTGTTTCTCACAGCGACCACGTGGGGAAATGATGCAAAAGACTTGATATCAAGTCCCTGCATCACAATACTCAATCCTGTTAAAGTGGGAAAAGAACGGCTGGCTGCAGGAATTGAACCTGCGACCTTCTGATGACACTTGAAAATCTGTGAACATGAAGGTAACCACTGAGCTAATCAACCATCCTCACTATGGGAAGTGACCACTCCACATGGCTTCACTTTTCACAATGCAAGAGAGATTGTTTTGATGTACACTGCTCAACAAGATTCCGCGTTTTTTTCGGGAAGGGTACCAAATTGTAGCCCTTAAAGAGCTCTGATCACTGGTTGGACCAGAAAAGACAAAAAACTCGCTGAGACGCGGCGGTTTTGGGGATTTTGAAAATTTCAAACCACATCTTGTGGGGCATGAAATTGAAGCCCTTGAAGAGCTCTACAAGATTCTTTATTCAACCTACTGATCCGATCATTGTTAGGTCCCAAAAAAGGAAAAAGACTCGCCGAGACGTGTGATTTCGACATTTTGACAATCTTGAAGTACCCCCTTGTGGGGTATCAAATTGTAGCCCTTGAGGAACTCTACAAGGATCACATGACTGATCACATCAACTCCCAAGCTAAAAATGGTAATACTCGACTGCTCCTGTAAAGTGTAGATATCTCCCCCAATTCTTATCCGTTTTGCTTGTTTGAAAGTGAAATTCTGGGTGCACAAAGCAATGGAAGCGAGTTTTGCTGTTGTTCAATGTGGATATTGTTATCCCGTGCAAAAAAGGAGTGGAAATTAGTGCAGACAGTATGCTATGTGCCTGTGTTCCTTACCAGGGCTGTTGCTGCTGGGGCTGGCTGGGGCTGGCTGGGGCTGGGGCTGGCTGGGGCTGGGAGACTTTGGATCGCAACAGCACTTATCACGTGTACCGATTGTGGCGCGGAAACGAGTTGCCATGGTAGTACCACCATAAGAGGAAACCTCTTTTTCTCTCTCCTTTTTTTCTTATTTTATTTTATTTTTATTTTTCATTTCCCTGCAGGAAAAACTCGGGACTCAAAAAGGGTACAGCCACCCGAGTTTCTCCGGGGGGTACAGCCACCCTTTAGCAGGCTAAAGGCCGCCCAGGATACTTAGGATTTGACGAAAAAGTATGGTCCGGAGGTTTTCGGGAGTTACGATCTCGATTTCAGGACCCGCGTCACGGAGGAGTCCGACGATGATGGTGAGAATTCCGGTGCGCAGGCTAATAGGGGAAGTCAAAGCTGGAATCGACGGCCGATTCTGGCCGATTCTGATGTCGATTCTTGACCGATTCTGCCGGCAGAATCGACCGAGAATCGACATCAACTTTGACCCCCCCGGTTCTGAGTTCGATTCTGAGCTCGATTCTTGGAGGATTCAGTTTGTAGACAGACAATTGATAATTAAATTGAATGTTTTTTTTCTGGGTCCCAAGCGTGCTATCTTATACCGCGACACCATGCCGCGGCTCTCCTCGCGCCAGCGTCGGGTGCGCGACGTCCTCAAGACGTTCCTCCGTGCGGTGACCTTGGGTTTCCCACCCCCGTTGGTGGTTGATGCATTGGGGCCGCAGGGAGGGTACAACGACTGCTTGATTCCCTTGTCGGCATAGATGCACGCAATGAGCTTCATGCTCAAGTGAGGGTCTTTCCAACTGTGAGGAGGTGAGTGGGCTTCTGAGGTATGGACTAGGACTTACTCGACATCCAGTGCCTTGAACTCCTTCTTCTTCTTTTCCTCGTCGGCGCTGTCCTCGCTACTATCGTGATTTTTTTTCTTCGGTTTCTTGGGAGCTTTTGCAGTTGGGGTTTTGATTCGTGTAGAGGGCTTCTTTTTTGCCCGGGGCAGAGGCTTTTACAGCAGGGGTTTTGGCCATAGTAGTTGTCAAGCGGTGAGCGCGATGTATAGCGGGGAAAAATATATATAATATGATTGATTTGTAATATGCTTTTGGTCGTGCCGGACCGGCATGCTTACAGGGGCTCGATTCTCAACTCGATTCCTGGGCTCGGGAATCGCCAGAATCGTTGTTTCACCTCCGGAGGCGGAACAACGATTCTGGGTGATTTTGCAAAAACATCGATTCTCGGTCGGAGAATCGATCCGAGAATCAACATCAGAATCTTCCCAGAATCGGCCTCCGATTCTAGCTTTGACTTCCCCTAATAGCGATGACAGTGGCGAGAGCATTGGATCTCGTGACTCCAACGAGGAGGAGAGCGACGGTGAAAGTGCGGGCTTGTTCATCATTGACGACGAGGGAGCGGTGGGCGAGGATGCACAGGGATCCTGGAGCGAGGATGACTACAACCCGGCTTCATTCAATAGGGGCAGTCAGAGTAGAGGATTCTGGTAGGATTATGGGTCGGGATTATGGAAGGTTTCTGAATTTATTTAGCGTGGGAGAATCCCTCGAATTCTTAATCCCTCAGAATCCTCGAAGCTCCTCTGGAGGAGATTCGGAAGGGATTGTGATTATGGCAAGGATTATGGGTGGAATATGGCTTTAAACATAATCACGGATTAAACCTCTGATCATAATCCTTCATTGCAGTTCTGGGTCGGTCAGAGTAGATTTGGATTATACCATGATTATGCTTGGATTATGGAGGATTATGGGCATTCCAAAATTCCATAATCCATCCTTAATCCTTGCCTTAATCCCTCCAGAATCCTCTACTCTGACTGCCCCTAATGCCACGTCCTACGATATGGATCTCGAAGCCGAAATCTTTGGCGCATCGGGGGACGAATCGGACGAATCTGTTTAATGGTTTATCTTTGCTACAAAATAGTGTCTAGTAATCCAATATTTCCTTTTGTTGCGATCTTTTGTTCGCGTTTAAGTTCTTTGGTCAGTTTTATTGTTTGGACTGTGACAGAAGAAAGGAACCGGCGATCAAAGTGAGGATTATCGGAACATGACAGTGCAAGTGACAGTCTAGGTGACTGATGCACGACAAGTGTAAGTGACACGGCATTGTCCGCCGTGATTGCAATCGGAGGAAACAAGCGGCGGATCAAATGAACACTTCGGAACAAAATGAACACTTTTGGGGTAAGTAACACGTCGGATCGTGTTTTGAACACTAAGAAAATGAACACTTGGCGTAACGCGTAACAAGGCGTGAACAGTTGGTCGTAATAGTACAGTAGCCCTTTGTGCGCCTCATGGCTGGGGATTATGAACTTCTTTTTCGTACTCTTCTACCCTCTATTTGGCCTCCGCTTTTTATACACATGCCATTTTTCACGGAGGCTGATTTTCTGGTTTCCTTGTCTGGTGTGTCTGTCGAACCTCTAAGCCGTCACGCGGGCCCTAAAACTGCCCGAAAAGCGCCAAAAAGACGAAATTCTGGGGGTGTCACGCGAAAATTCAGCCTCTGTCAATATGTCGAATAGGTTGAAGAAGTCACGCATCACACCCCCTGTCGATTTGAAGGGAAAAGTACAGTACACAGAAAACATTGCTTTCCCGTCAGTCGACTAGGTCGCCCGCGCTCGTACTCTAATTACTCCAAAATTGTCTGCTTGCTTCTACCAACTTCTTCTCGCAATGTCTTTCTATACAAATTTCGTCGGGCGGTCGCTAGCCATTCGCGAGGCGTTGCGTGTCCTTTCACACCCGCCGAAGTCGTTGCTGCCCTTTCGTCCGAGGAATGTTAAGGATCTCTCAGTCAGCTTCAAGCATTGCCATCTTCAGTTCATCTTAAGACTGCGGCGTTCCGAAACCCGTCTCTCCGCCTGTATCGCTTCCTTGGCCCATCATGCACCTCCCGCTCAAATTATAGTTGTATTTTATTAGTTTGGAGGTAAGCTATATTGCCCAGACTGCCTCGTAGCTTCATGATCTCCACTGGCTATAGGTCTCGCGATTATCATGCTTTCTGCTTCGCGTTCGGAGGCCGATGTGTACGCGGAAGAGAACGGCATGCCCATGAGTTGGAGCTCTCTTGCGTTCATATGTGCGGCCGACCGCAAGTTCTGTCCTCCTTCCCATGCGGTGCCAGAATCCAGTCATTTTTGAGAACGAAAAGAGAAACGGCAGGGAATAGTGCTAATGAAATGCGGAGCTATGAAGATAGAATCTAGATGTAGGCATAAGACCAGCGTCCCGCATACGCACGCACACTGGCCGTTGAGCGACCACCCACACCATGCATCGCGCCGCAGATACACGTCTAACTATACCCCAGCTTAACACGCTGTCGAAGGAAGGCCGAGACGAAGACGCGTGAGTGCAGCTCTGGCGAGCGCTGGGTGTGTCTTCCTGGGAGGCGCCTCGACGCCTGGGAATCTCGAGGGAATCCGCCGCCTTCCCGTGAAACCAAGACCAAGAGCGCGACGCTTTTGCCCCCAAAAGGGCCGTCTGAAGTCATATCCTTACTCTTGTGCTCATTGAACCCTACGAGCACCGCCAAAGGAAAGGCCCGTACCACACCCGCCAAGAAACTCACGAAAAGCGCGGATGATTGCAATATATGTAGCTCACAACCGGAAGCTGCTCACATCATGTAAAAATATTCACCGACTACTCGGGTAAGTCTTCGCAAGAGACAATCCGCAACACTCTTCCACAACCCTTGATGCTGGTTCTTTCTCCTAAGCCTTCCAGGTTTTCAACGTGTATAACGACTCCGGGGGAGTGACAGTTGGGGAAAGCTACAGATGTCAGGTCAGGAAATAATTAAGACCGGGAAACGTACCCATTGTAAGACCAATTCCACAATCTGTTGTATTGAATTCAAGGATGTGTCACTAGTCGCGGTCAGGATTACGGTCTTATCCAAGTATTTGGGTGACGATTCGTAATATGTGCGTTGACCGGTACTTTCGTCTTTCACCAAAATCGCAAAGATCCATGAATGTCCGTTGGACAAACAAAAACGGACAGTGTTTTGGCTAAAAATGGGTATTTTAGAGAGAGTGAAATGATAATATGTGTCGGAAGGATTACAAACCCAGTGAGCTCGCTGAGAGCAATTGCCTGTCCAACTGCCTCAGGCATGTGATGCGAAAGATTGGCTACCTTGTCCGACATGCGCTTCGCCTCGACGAGGAAAAGACGGCCGTCTGCCAACTGCAAAATCCCATCACGGGACGCGTCGACACCGAGAAAACGAGCTGATATTAACGATATGTCATCAGAATGGGAAAATACATGAAA